AACAAAAGCATGAAAAATTTTAAGAGAATCCGAAAGCGGCTTTGGCCATTTCACACGTACAGCATCAGCTGGATGATTCGATCGTTGCATTCGCCATTCGTGGAATTATTTACAGACTAATGTGAGCAGCTCTAGACGGGCATGTGGTCAAGACCTGCACAGTTGCCGGGTCCCTCTAAACTGGTTACTGGGTCCCTGTGTCAATCCCCTTTAAACCCTCTTCGTGGCTCACAGCCTGTGGTTCTGTGTCCTCCTCTCAGCCATGGGACCACAGGACTAGACAGCCTGACACAGGACTGTGAAGCATAACTGACTTTTAATCGCCTCAACTTGAAGGTGCTGTACAGAATGATGGCGGGCTTCCAGTGAGACATCTTCCTCCACCGGCTGCGTGTCAGCACACTTCATCAACAGCGGTGGTATTCCAAAGGCCTTCCACACCTACTAAGCGTTCTTTATAATTCTTAGAGCACTTCACAGAACCGCATACCTGGAGGTACCTGCACACCTGGCCAGATTGTCTTGATTAACTCCATTCCTAAGCACCACATTCCAGGAGTGTATTGCTGTAGCAGACAGCACCACTCAACGGCTCACATCTGAAAAGCTAGACCTGTCCCATCTAGTCAAAGGATTAAGCTAGTCACTTTTGTAGTGGTTTTTGGAGAAATGATTCAAGATCACTGGCCAGATACTTGGAGAAGACCAGGAATAGTTGCCCACATCTCAGTACTTTCCCCTATCCCCCAAAATGGCATCTCTCTCGGACCACCTCCCATCAGAGAGAAAGAACCCTGCTAGTCTTCCAGAATTGCTCATTGGAGCCCAAAGATTATTTGGAACTTTCCAAGTTGAGGCCACTGCTTTATAATAGAAAAGGCAAAAAAAAAAAAGATTCACAAGCACGAATCATTATGAAAAGATGGACCATCAGACTTTAAGAAGAGACCTTCTAATACCTTAATTTGTTTTATCTGCTTGACCCAACATATCAAGAACAGGGAACTAAGAGCAAAAGGTGGAGATGCTTTCTTAGTCTGTTAGGGTTGGGGACCTCCAGGATTTAGATGGACCAAAAAGCTGGGACCAAATCTCATGCAGAAAAATAACCTTAAATATTCCTCCATTCCTGAAAGCTGAAATGCATGAACCAGCTATTTTAATGTTTGACCCATTTGAAATGTAGCAAAATTGACAAATATGTCAATTAACTACTTGGTAAATATTTCCAAAAGCTTTAAAAAAACACCTTATATTTTATCCCTAATGTAAAAATAGCATAAATCAAAACTGACTCATCCACAGTGTGTATATTAAACCAAAATTACTATGGGTTTTTTTTTTCTATTTTTATATGTCACAAATACTTCCATGTACTTCCCCAAAATGCCATTTTACAAAGTTGGGCTACTTTCAAAACAATCTACTAAACCTACTGATAAGCATCTGTGTATTTAGGGCTACCTATAAAATACCCTTTTCCTGCCTACCTTATCCCAGCTTAACTATGTACTACCAAAATTCTGACTGCAAATCTTTAGTTTATAATAAGATTGATATTTCCACTGTAAAATATGTAGAACTTAGGTTTCTGAAAATTATTTTTCTTAAAACCGTTAGAATACCAATAAATATATCATAAGATACATTTTAAAGAAGTATAGTTTTACCATTCTCAGCACTCTGAGGAGTCGATAGAATTCGCTTTGCCATTCTTTTGGAGAAATGCTTTAATAACTAAGAGTCATTTGTAATTTGTGGATCAATTACTTACCAGTTGTTTTTCTAACCATTTTTAAGCAATTCCTTTGTGCTATAGTCCAAAATCTAATTTTCCTGGGAAGCAATTTTTATGTATTTATATTTTTAATTGACAAGTAAAAATTGTGTATATTGATGATACACATGATGTTTTGATATATGCACACATTGTGGAGTGACTAAATCAAGCTATTTAACATATGCATTACTCCACATACATTTTTTTTTCTTTGCATTTTGTGGTGATTTGGAAAGCTATTGTTATAGGCCTTCTGTTCCTACCCTGTTGAAATGATCACTAATGCCGATTTAGGGAGATCTGAGTGGCTGAGATCACATATCATATGTAAGAAGTGGAGGATAAGGCAATCCTTTTTGAGTGGCTCGCTCTCCTGAGCAACAGTAGTTGTGATTAAATAAACCCCTCCACCTAGCGCAATTTTCAAACGTGGTGACATTAACTTTGGTAGAGGAGAGCTCCTAAAAGACTTTGCCTTCTAATGGAACTCATATTTATGGGCTCTGAAATTTCAAAATATTCTAAGCCAGTAGGACCAAAAGTAAATGTTCAGCCAAATGTGCATTTTAAGGTGAGATGATGGTAACTCTTTGTTCTCTGGCTCATAAATTGAACCTTCTGGCGGATATAGGATGGTCCTGCTAGATATATCTCTCGCTCATTCTGTAATCAGCAATGCCTGTAACAACTTTTATATCTCCATTTAACATTTGCGGATAGCTCTAGTGTCTGTTTCGTTTCATCATTAATCTTTTCTGAAACCTCACTGCTGCCACCAAAGCCATGCATAGAAATTCCCAGCCGTGCCTCTGCAAATTAAACAAAACGTGCTCTGAGCCTGCCTTAAAATCGAAGGCATTATGTGATTTATTTTCCAAGCTGTTCCCAGGGCTGTGCCTACAGGTGAGATAGCACAACGTTTTGGAAGTGGGGACGCCACGGTAGCGATTCTGTAAATCTGTGTTACGTGAGATCTCCGTGGAGGGGCTTACCCCGCTCAGTCTTTCTCATCTCTAAAGGAGAAAGCTTTTCGCCCAAGAGTCCTTTCCAAGCAAGCTCAGGATGACTGTCAGCAGGTCAGGCTCACGTCTGGCCAGGTCTTTAGCACCCCTGTGTGTCGCTAGGTAGGGGAAAGCTTGTAGGATCAAAGAGTCCCAGTAGAAAGCCCAATGAATGACAATGTACCACAAGCATGCTTGTCTACAAAAAAGCGTCGCCAGGTGGAAATGGCCAAAATGGAGCTCCCCATCCCCCAGGTGAAAGGGCTCAGCCTCTGAGGAGCCTCGGAAGTATAACTAGAGCCCCAAGACCAGACGTGGGCCCATGAGGAAGACCAAGCAGTTTCTAGGGGAGGAAATATTTTTACTGACCTTTTTGAGTTACTGTTGCACTTCCATTAGTACTCTGAACTCCAGGAAGATGGTGATCATTTTTCATGGGCTGCTAGCTTTTGCGAGTTTCTGGTTGGGCAGGTTTTAAGTTATCAGAGCAATAGAACTTCCCCTAACAAATCAAAGCACTGCCTATCGGCAGGGTGTCAGTGCTACTCCTAATAGGGCTTGAGGACTGACACCGTCTACATCACCTGGGAGTTTACTAAGCATACAAATTCTCAGACCCCACCCCAGATTTACGTAGGGACTGCTGGGGGTGGGGCCCAGCAGCGTGAGCTTGAACCCCCTTCCAGGTGATTCTGAGGCACACAGAAGTTTAAGAAGCATGGATCTACCTATCCTTCCTCCCTTAGTGCCAACACCCTCAATTTGGAGGAAGGGTGGCAAGGTTCCCTGTAAATACTCCATTTCCCAGCCTCCCCTGCCACAAAGGGAGGTCAGTGATACACACGCGGAAGTGACTGGGTGGGACTTCCAGGAGAACAGTTTCAAGGGAGGCTGGTTCAGCTGGGAGGCGCAGCTCCTTCCCCCCTTGCCCTCCCTTCTGCTTCCTGCCTGAACCATGGATGTGAGGATTGGCACTTCAACAGCCCTCTCAGCCCATGAGGCAGCCAAATGCTCAGATCAAGCATGACTTTCTTTCTTCCAGATTCCCTTCATATGAGAGAAAAATAACCTTTAACTTAGTATAAACTTGTTATAAATTGGCTTATTTGGGTTTTCAGTTATACGCCATCCAACCTAATCCTCACTAAATCCCAAATATTGCATCACTGTTAGCTCAGTTAGCACAGACGGATCCTAGAAAAGCCAGAAGGGGAGGTAGAAACATCTTTCCCAGGGCGACCGGCCATCCTGCCCCAGTAACCAATGCCCTGCTTGCGTTCCCGGCCCCAGCCCTTCGTCCATGTAAAACTTCCCGTAAAATTGGCTAAGTAAAAACTGATTACATCTGTAGAAAATGAGCAACTGCATCTTTTCCCTTACCTGGTGTACAAAGATAAGAAATTGGCGTGCTCCTTTAGGAAAAGAGGAACTAGGCAGGGGTGGGAGGGAGCAACCACACTGGGAAATCCACAGCTGAAGAGTAAAGTAGTTACGAACCTTTTTACAAACAAAAGCTGCGCTGATTGTAAGGTCCCTGTGCTCTGTGTTTGCAGCCAATTTAGTATCCATCTTGCCCACTCTCTCTAAGTGGGCTGAGGCAGGAAACAGGAACTGTGACCAATTTGTTCACTACCATGTTCTCGGGCTTAGGAGAACAAATCCATAAGGATTTGTTAAATGAATGAATGGATAGATAGATGGATAACTACTAATCTTTCCATGTTGATACGGGTCCTTCCACTCATTCTAGGTAAAACCAAGTTGAGTATTCAATGAATGGCCCCAGGGGAAGGAAGCGTTAGTCACATGGTCCTATTGCCCAGGGTCTGTATGGAGGGCGCTGTCATAGGGTGTCAGCAGCCCAGGGACTGGTCCAGAGCTGTAGAGCAAGCACTGCTGTGGGCCGTGTAACCCACACCCAGAACTACCTGTAACCTCAGTCACATCATCTAACTTCCCAAGGTCTCCCTAAGCAAAACATAAAAAGTTGGAGCAAGTTATGCTCCACACTTCTCCCAGCTGATTCAGTCAATGCAGGAATACAGAAGAGAGCTTAGTGCCTGAAAATAATCTCTAACCCTAGTTCTTAGAAGTTTGCTGCCAGCGATTTTCATTATTAGTTTCGACGAACTAACACAAGGCACCAAGGGACCCTAGGTCTGGGGCTATTTATCACATGACCTCAGGGTAAAGTGCTACAAACGTCACAGACAGGCACACCTCTTTCACTAATTATTTTTAATAAAACATAAGATCAAAAATCAGCATCAGGAGATGACACACAATACAGTTGAGACTATGAAAAGCAACTACCCCCAGACTGAGCATCGCAAAATACATCATCATGAACTGTGAACAGATTTGCTCGACAAAGGAGAGCCTCGGCCCTTTTAACCCCCCACGGCCCACACTGGGAGTTTCTCAGGGTAGAAAATGAAGTGAAAAAGAAGTGGATGACCAGGAACACTGTACATTATCCCCCAATGACCTGCCACAGAGACTATTTTTAAAGACACATTTATCTCGGCAGGAGTGACAGCACTTAAGAAGTGGCCAGGTACTTACGCCAGACGATCCCTCTTGGGGAAAGCGTGGCTGCACCCTGTACAGAGGCCTAAGTGATGGATGAGATGGGAACTTCCCTCGGTTGGTTAGCTGGTTGGTTTAAGGAGCCATAAAGATAATGTAGAAGTGAGAGCTTGGAGACCACATGGAGTTAACCCCTAAATTGTTGCGGCCACCCCAGCACTCAAAACTTAATCAGATTTTAAATTTACAAGATCCATCTTAACTAGAAATGCAGGCTCTGGCTTGCAAATTTCTTAAGTGGTAGCTTCTCATCGAATTATATTATCCTCTTGAAGAATAATGTTATAGGAGAGGTGGTAATCCCAGATATACACAATTCTCTTTTATGAACCCAGCCACTGTATCTCATATCACAAGAATATGGAAAGTATATTACAGCTATATTACACCAGGCCTCTCACTGTCGACATAGCATTATGTTAGGTAACCCCTATAAAACACTGAGAGAAACATTAATACGCAGCAGTATATTTATATATTTTATATATATATATGTGTGTGTGTTTAGGGGAATCAGGGTGTCAAATCAGAGTTGAATGAATAGGTGGGATTCAAGAGACACAGAGGAAACATGTTAACCATTAAAACTGATCTCAAATGGAGGGTGGAGAGGTGCCATAAAATCTACCCCTGCCCACCTGTTACCTGCGAAAATTACAGAAGGATGGTCTGAAGCTATCACAGGACCTAAGCATTTCTCGAAAACTGAGAAAACACTCAATGCAGCCATTACTATTCTGTTTTAAACATTTGGAGAGCTCTTTTAGGGAAAGTGTGGCACTTTATGGCCGTTGAGAGCACTGCAAATCAACCCCAAGAACTACTTCTTGCAGACTGATGTTTACTGGGCCCAGGCGATTCGCCTCCAGTGGCAGGAGTTCATAGCTCACTGTCCCTTCCCTTGCTAGACAGTTGTGAGGGCCAGCGAGTTGTTTCTCTTCCATGTAGTCAAGACTTCAGTCCATTGCTGCCGCTGGCCAGAGCAGTCCGTCCTAGGCTCCCACCCCTACTCATACCCCTGTTCGTGTTCCTAACTGGATTTCAGGAAAGAGTCTCTTAGAGCACTGAAGAAAAAACATATTTGACATCCACTCTGGTCCCTAACTCCCATCCATGGGCTCTGTTTCAAAAGGAATGAACACGTGGCATAGATTTCTCGTGGGACCGGACCGTTATAACGAACATGGATGGCGTTTTACCACTAAAACGAGCAGAAAGTATTTACACTTGGAAGAACTGTGGCCACACTCCCCCGTCCCTCCCTCAGTCCCCCACGTTGGTTGTTTGATTATCGCCTACAAAGAGAGCGTCAGAGGCCACTGGACACTTGTCAGTGTTGTTTCCGGGTGAGCGGCAAACTCAAATGGCAGGATTGAAGACGGTGAGCTTGAGTTTCGCAAGTGATCTGGGCAAGAGAGAAAAGTAACTGCGCACTCCACCCACACGAAGAAAAGCGCCTGGGTTAAATGAACTGTACAGTATGAGTTTGTTAAGTGCATCCTCCAGACAGCAAGTTAAATGGCTATAAGAAATTGTGTTTGCATTTCATTCAATCAGACCTAATTTCCTGGGACCTCAAACACCCAGTTCTCCCAAAATATGGCTAAAATGCTGGCAATATTTGCAGATACCACTCGTGGCAATTAAACCCAAGTAAAGTTATATACAAACTTAGTTTACAGAACACCTATCCCATTAAGTTGCATTGAATAGAGCAAAATAGAAATAAATATCATTCTTAAATCTATCACCTAATCATCATGGAAAGCTTAGGACACTTAGGGGAACGAGAGATCTGTATAGGTATTGCTCAGATATTTGGTTTTCTATGTCAGAGTATTTTCAATGCTATTGTGCCAATTTTCAAGTGGAAAATATGATAGGTGACACTCTCAGATGCAAAAATATATGTATCCTGTACTTCAAGCCCAATGCTCACATGATGATTCTAACTTCCAGCCAAGACAATTTGTTAAATCACTGGGCTCCAAGGAGCTTTAAGGAAGAGCTCGAGTGTTTCTCGTCCTCAAATTCCTTTTGAAATGCAAATGAGTCCTTGCACTTCACTTAGGGAAATGCGCACTCCCCGCTTAGTGTGTGCACTCGTGGAAGGGTCCTCCCCTGCCTTGGGCTGGGGAGACCAGAAGCCAAACACGCAGCTCTGTGATTCTAAGGGTGGCTCGGGGCACCCCCAAATCAGTCACCTGAGTTACAAACACATTGACAGCTGACGTGAGTCCTAAACTAAGGGTCACAAAATCAACTTCTCCTCCTGTGCTGCCCAAGGTGTCCTCCGGACAGTGACAGGCAGGAAGTGTGGATGCATTTACGTGTCCTGGACAAGATTCTTTCAACCTTCCTTTCCCCATAGATTGTTCACATCAGGACTTGTTCTCGAGTCTCCGGCAGCCGAAGGGCAATCAGGCCGCCCCCAACCAGAGAAGCAGCAGCCAGAAGGATGGGCACCACTTTGGTTATCCCAACAAAAGAAGCAAAGATGGTGTTTCCCAGGATGGCTCCAAATTTACATAATCCATTGAGGATGCCAAAGGCTGTCGCCCTGTAAAAGAAGAGGAAAGTAAATAATTCTGAAATTCTGTACCTCATTAGGTGAGTGGGACTGGGTTCCTTCTTCTCCCGGTCATGGGGACATGTAAGTGTTCCCCAATAGCATTCTCAATCCTCTGGCAGAAGAGATTGCTAGATGTCCTCAAATAATCACATCTCCAAATAGAAGACTACATTTCCCAGACTCCCTTGCTGTGAGTGTGGCCACGTGACTTAGTTTTGGCCAATAGGATGGAAGTGCAAGTGGTAGATCCGGAGAAAATTCCTTAAGAGCAGTCATGCATGAGTGGGTCTCCTGCACTGTTCTCCTTCATCCTTTTTCTTATACTCTGCTTCATGGAACACAGACGGACCATGGCTGAGTCCAGGCAAAGACTAAGAATGAGACAGGAAGAACCTGCACTGCCTACTCTAGACTTTTGCAGGAGAGAAAGATGCAATGCCTACCTTTTAAGGCTGCGGTTATTTGGGGTTTCTGTCACCCATGGCAAAACCTAAGCCCTAATTATTATCCCTCAACCACACTTCCTTGAGATGCCTGTTATCAACCATTGATACCTCCATGACCCCATCTATATACAGAGGCAATATCCCCTATACTCTCTCTCCCCAGATGAAGTAAGATGTTTCTTTTTCATACCACAAGTTTATTAAGAATGTGGGTCTGATTTTGGACTTAAAATTCCTCTTACACCTTTGTCTATAATTGTGCCACATGGCAGCCTTATAAATCATTGGCCCAGTTTTTTGTTTGTTTTAGTATTTTCTTGGACATTTTCTCATGCATATTTTTCCAAATAAACTTTTTTCAAGTTCCCAGAGGGAAAAGCTCATTGAATTTTGAGTGACTTTTCTAAGTTAGAGATAAAATTTGACATTTTTGTAAAATTGAATCTTCTTACCCATAATGAGGTAATCTTGACATATATTTTGTCTGCCTTTATATCTCCTAGTAAAGCTTTATAATTTTCTTTATATAAATGTTTCACTCATTGAATTGACTCCTAATTATTTTATGATTTCTGCTGTAATTAATTTTAATTGCATTTGTAATTTTTTTGATAAATTTTAAAGCCTATACATTATGAAGTTAGTTTTATTACTGACCACCTGACCAAATTATCTATCTAGTAGTCTCTTTAGTTAATTCTCTTCCTACATGTAAAATCACATCCCATTCAAATAATAATGAATCCCCCCTTATTTTTCGTAAAACTTAGCAATCCTTTGATCCAAAGGAGTGGGGCTCCAAATATGATATGTTGTGCTTTGCCACAGTTCCCTATATCCCAGTACCTCTGGCACCAATTTTAGAAATATCATTAAGGTTTTTTGCAGAATTTCATTTACCCACCTTCCTCACCATCTCACATTCCTTTTTGACCACAGGGTCTCTTATCTACTATCCTTAAAATTCTCAATTCTCCTGCCAAGCAGAGACACAATTGCAAAGTAATGGCCTTGGCCCTAAGCTTTTAACCTAGGCCTCTTCCTGCATGGCCTGCACAAAATAAAAATAAACCCTGGGCATCCTGCTGCTCGCTCTGCAAATGCCCTGGCCCTCTGTGCCTCATCACCACCTTTTTTCCCCCTCCCTGCCTTCATGCTGTGTTATTCTAGTTCTCCCTCTTTGCTTTCTCTCCCCTCAGCAGGTCTACTCTTACCTCTCTGCTGGATTACATGACACATATGGTTTTGCCAATTTCTTTTTCACTCTTACTCTTCTGTCCTGGACACAGTTTGCTCGTGTCCTTTGCTCCTTGCCATCCGCCCAACCCTATCAAGGCCTAGTCCTCCCACGTCCAGGTCTATGCAGGAGAAACTCCCATGCAGGAGAAACTCAACAGCCTAAGAAACGTCCTATCCATGGGACAACAGGAAGGCCCTGATGACTGTGCATGGTGCCCAACCTAATGAGCAGGTAGACTTCCGGCCAAAGAAGTCCCAACGAGTCCTAGAGGGAAACCCGGGGAAGAACTGACCTCTGGTTGGTGGGATACAGCTCCACTGTGATCACATCCAGAGCATTCCAGGCCGCAATGCTGGTCCCACAGAACAGGCACTGCCAGCCGATCATCGCGGACTCGCTGTTGCCAAAAAACAGGAAGAAGCAGCAGACCGCTGAGATCAGCATGGAGCCTCCTGCAGGAGTCCAAGGGCAGAAAGAAACATGAAGACTGTGTCTTGAACAAGGCTGTCACCCACAGTTCTTGTCCATCTCCCATCCCAAAGGTACACCTGAAGTAACAGGTTACCTAAAGTATTAGGTTTATCCTCCACATGGAAATAGCACTGCTTGAACCCTCACGTGGCACCCTGGCCATGGGATTGGAGCCCTCTGCATGGGTCAGAGCACCAGAGTTAGCCTCCAGGAAGGACTTTGAAATTGCCGCTCTAAGGTGCTGCCCAGCCCAGAGTGACTGGGAAAGGGGCAGATGGTGGGATTTGTTGAGAATCTATTTTGTGCCAGACATTGTCATAGTGCTTTAGATACATCAGTATCAGTTACAAAAACCCATTCTCAATACGAAATCAGCACGTCAAAGAGAAATCTGCACTCTCATACTCACTGCAGCGTTATTCACAACAGCCAAGACATGGAATCAACTAGGTGTCCATCAACAGATGGATGAATGGATAAAGAAAATGTGGTATATATGCACAGTGCTTTAAAAAG